TTCTGTACTGGCAACTCTTTACAGATATATATACACTTAAACATATACACACCCATAACCAGGAAGAGAAACCAGGTGTGGGTAACTTGCTAAGAAACTAAAGACCAGAGAGCCCTCAAGCCAGGAAAAGACAGAAGAAACTGAGATACCTCCAATTAAGTGAAAGGAGCCAATCTGAAAAGGCTGTATTCCATATGATTCCAACTGTATGACATTCTGGGGAAGGCCAAACTATGGAAATAGCTGAGAGAGGCATGGTGGCCAGGAGTTAGGGGAAGACAGTGGTAAAGACAGAACACTGAGGAATTTGCGGATAGTGAAAATACTCTGTATGATGCTACAAGGGTGCTTAATCACTTTCTGTTAGTAAGAAACAGTGCCCAACACCCCCAACTTGGAGGAGGGGAGGCTTGGCTAGCACTGTTTAGTCTGTAGTTGGCTGGCTGCAAGGCAGGATGGCACAGTGCAGGGGAAAGGTGCCACGGCAGAGAGCCAAAGGAGGAGCCAGGAAGGGAGATGCATCCACCCAGGGCCTGCCAACAGTGACCGGACCCCACCTCCCAAGAACACATCAGCTGTAATACCTCCATACTGCAAGTGCATGAGGCTTTGGGGCCATTTTGGAGCAAAACCATAACAAATAATGGCTATACATCATTGGACATATGCCAAAACCCATGAAATGTACAACCCCAAGAGTGGAATCTAATGAAAGCTTTTGATGTTGGGCGACAATAATGTTTCCATGTGACAAATGAACGGCTCTGGTATGGGACGCAGGTAACGAGGAAGGTTCTGCATGTGTGTGGGCAGGCAAGAAGTATACTGGTAACCACCGTACCTTCCTCTCAATTTTGATATGAAACAAAAGCTTCTCTAATAGTATAAAGTCTTTTAAAAACTTCATATCCTTAATATTAGGGTAATGTTCAACATGTATCCTAATATTAATTTGTGAGGCAAGGTAGATATTTACTTATTTATGCAAATTTCATGTAAATACATTCAAAATAAATGACTACAAATGTGCTTTACCTGCAGTTACCTTGCAGAAAAGAAAGATGCCTAAGGGGTAGCACATCAGGCAGCTTTCCCCAGAGCACCAAGTGAGGGCCCCTCCCACACCTGCGGCACCCCTCAGCGAAGGTATAAGAATTCCTTAAAATGTGTCCAGGACAATGTGCATCAGAATGTCCTCAAAGGCTCGTGAAAACATGTTGTTGGGACACAAGGATCATAATCAAAATCTAATAAAAATCTCTGAGTTGAACCATGTGCATATCCCAAAGTCACAATTTTCTACAATTCTTTTTCTAGTTTAGAAAGAGGCAACCATACCTACATACATCAGTTCTATTCCTCCCCGCATTAAATAGAAGGATTCCTTGAAAAAAGACTGGAGGAAAAGAGTGAGTGTGTGTGTGTGTGTGTATGTTCAAGAGAAGTACTTTTAAGAGAGACATTTTAATTAACCCCAATTTAGTAGACAATGCGGAAACACAGGGGACTTGAGACACTCCTGACCTACGGCTCTTTTAGTGATGATAAATGGGGCTCCACTCCCAGCCTGTGAATACTTGCCGCAGGCATGACTTCTGAGCCACGTGCTTCCCTCATTTCTCAGTGCCCCATATCAGTAATAATGATGCTGGAGCAAAAGAACAGAGAACCAAGGGAACCAACTAAAAGAGACATAAGAGGAAATGAACACAAGTGAGGGTGACGCAGGTCTGAGGACAGTTTAAAATATCAAATTCCAGTGAAGACGGTTTAGAAATCGGAGTGACTCTCACCTCCAGCATCCATTTTTCCTTAACAGTGTTGGTGTGGGTGCTTGGTTTCAATTAGCAGTGACGCCATCCCACAGCATTTCCAGTGGACTCCAGGCCCTGCTCTCTCATGAAAGGTGGCTTTTCTTGTTCCTGCGGCACCATTGATCTTAGCACAGTTGCTAATGCCCACAATCAACTAATTATGTTGTGTGTAACACGGAGAATAGACGTAGTTCTGCTGTAAAAACCTAAAACATTTTATTTTTAAAAGGTCTGATAGCTTTTCAGAAAATAACGTTGGGGGAGACAACCATAGAGTTTTTTAAATGCTTAACTATTTCTCTTTGTGAGTTAAAAATATTGATTTTGGCATTTTGCCTACATGAAGAAAATCAGAGCTTTGAAGGCAATGAGCAACTGGCTACTTACACAGAGCCTGTTATAATCTCTCACCCCCTACCTCCTTAGAAAAGCAGAATTCACAGTGGTCGGTCAGATCCTGTTTGAGGCTAGAATAGGCCAAGACCATGCACAAGTTTCTCGAGCCAATTAAATACCCCTGATTTACCGATTTAATAAAGAAACTCTGTCTTCCGACCTCGCAAGGTCAATAAGAACAAACATCAATAAAAGCGAAATGTTTTCACTGAAAACACTGGGAGATCAAGCATGAGGTTTCTAACATGATTCTGTGATCCACTCATTCATCCACAGTGAAAAGCTCAGGGTGGGTGACAACTCATGAAGGCAGACAGTCTGTGCTGCCCCATTCACACTCGGAGACTTACAGTTCACAGAGACAGGTTAGAAGCTGGACTGGGGAATACACTGAGACTTTCAGGCACACTTAGCTAACTTTCAAAGAAACAGTGGTTCTTTCTTTTGTAAGCCAACCACAAACCTGAAAAAAAATTAAAGTTGAATCTATTGCTGATGGCTGATTGCACTAATGTATCCAACGTGTTCAACTGCTTTCTACTACACTGACAGGTACTCGGTAGCAGCTGAGGATCTGTGAGATGTGGCCTCACAGTTTTGATTTTATGCCTTACTCCAAGAAATACCACATCAAAAGATTTGATAGTTAGCCGGATGTGGTGGTGCATGCCTGTAATCCCAGCACTGGGGAGGCTGAGGCAGGAGGATCGTTGTGAGTTTGAGACCAGCCTGGGCAACAAAGTGAGCTCAAGGCCAGCCTGAACTGCACAGCCAGACCCTGTCTCAAAAAGACAAAAAAAAGGATTTGACAATTTCAGTAACAGGAAAGTGGTGCAAGTAATTTGAAATGCTTTTTTAAAATTATGGGATATCCTTACTAGAAAAGCAAATATCATTTCCATAAAAACAAAAAATCAGAAAAACAATCCAATAGTAGTAGGCTGGGATAATCCTTGTTAGTTGTAGGACTTTTCATTATTGTCAAATCTTTCCTTATTTTCATTTAGAAACTTTTTTTTATTATTCTCATGAACATCTTTAAAAATATAGGAAATTTGTTAGAATTTACAGTTTATATATTTATGTCTACCGCCTATATTTTATTAATAACTTTACTAATAAAACTTTGTTTTACCCTACTTCTGGCCATCTATCAATCTTATTTTCTTTATTTATCAATCTTATTTTTCAAATAAGACTGAATTTCAAAGCAAATTTTAGATCCCAATACCCTTCCCCCTAAATGTTTAAAAATGCATATAATTAACCAGAATTCAATATATTGTTAGTATTTTAATGTAGTACTTATACAAAATATAACCCCCAAAAGTTAAGTTTAACTCATTGGGTTTTGGCACTAACAATCCTGACTGTAGTCCACGCCTATCAGGCATGAGCAGGCTCTGCTCTTCCTCGCCCTCAACTCCAGGGCAATGTTCCTGGCTAGCTCACCACTAATTGCACCAGCCCTCTCGCTTAGGTCCACAATCTGCCTCCCAATTTCTTCACAGCCTATGCACAGGTTAACCCTTCTTTTGCCCCTCTTCATCTTCGTTTTCTTTAAATATCACCTTATAAATGCCTTCACTGCCTGCTGTGAAGACTATGACTGTTCTGCACAGAATCTTCTCCTCACAACTGGAGATACACATCGGTTTATGCTTTCTTCATTCAGTGTTTCTAGATTTGGCTGAGCTGTAAGTACCATGATTGTAGGGACCACGTCATTAGTTCACCTAACAGACAGCAACACAGGGCATATAGCAGAAGATGGTCCACGGAATAAATTACAGCCTGCTTTGAGCTCTTCTTTCCCAGCTGGACAATAGTTATTTGTTCTGTAGTAATATATTATTTCTTAAACAATCTGTATATTTACCTTTTATATCTTCCTGTACAGAGTAAATTTTTGAGTTCCAATGTTTGTTTATTCATGTGTTATAAACTACCTTCTCTGAACCAGGCAATTACCTAAACACAGAGGATATTTAAAGAGTGAAACAGAACTGTTTCTGTCCTCAGCACACAAGAGGAAGTGGAAAACAGGTAAACACGATGCAGCATAAAAGGCTCCTGGGGATGCAGGAAAGTGCGGCCAGCTTACATGAGAGTGTGGGAAGACGTGCTATTGAAAGTAGCCTCTGAGCTGAGCTTGCGGCGGATCTTAGCTTTGCTCCACTTCCTTTACACACTAAATTCAGACCACCTCTCATGTGTGAACTCCCTTCCACTTTTATCACGATGGACTGTAGCACGTTTTTCCCTATATGGAGAAAGAGCTGGTAATAATATGTCAGAATGACTCCCACTCGGTTTCTGGCAAGTAAAATCCCGGAAAAGTTCAAAGCTATGACTATATTATCTTCCTCCCCATTGGTCTTCTTCTTGAATATCCCACAGTGACTATGAAGTTTCAGCTCAAAGAACTTATTATTTTCTACTCTGTGCAGAGGAGTCTGCTCCCAAATAGGAATGCACAGCGGCGTGAGGGCCACAGAAGCACTGAAGTCAGTCAAAGTCCACTCCCTACTAATGTTTGTTAACTTCTCTCAGAGTACAGAAACACATCACAGGAGATTTTTACTCTTGCAGAAAAATGTACAACAGGAAAGAGGGTAGGCTGAATAAATTTCACATGTTCTAAGCTGCCACTTGCTGCTGGAAATTTATTCATTGTTGAGTGGAGAGTCCTGTGGTGGCTTATACTGACTACATCCCCACAGAGATCGCAGAGATAGAATACAAGGAAGCAGATAAATGAAAGATTTAGCATGTGACATGATTACTCACCGGCCTTCCCAGTTCTCCACAACATTCATGGCAAGATGTTACTTCTCCACACAAAACCAAGTTTCAGTGTGTGAATCAAGCTGGACAGGGAAGGAACCACTTTTGCTGAAGAGTAAGTAGAAAAATCTAAATGTTGCCATTTAATTGTCCTGACGCTATTAACATTTTTACCACAGCGATGCTCCTCATCCAGTAGAAAGTCAGTCTTCTCTCAAATACACAGTGTGCTACAACTCTTGATTTGAAAATGCAGATTCCCAGCAGGGAATGAGTGGAGCGTGCCACAATTTTCCCATTTAATTATGTGATATTTTGCTTGTGAGGAACAAAAACAACCTCAGAAAACTGTACCCACTAAACTAACCCATGCCAACAGGCACCCTCACATGGTCTCTGTTTGCCACATAAGTTAGGAGCCACCCATCTACCTCTGGTGTCACGTGTCTCTGTGAGAATTCAGATAATCCTCTCCCCTCCCCTGTACATAAGCAAATGTCAGGTCTCTTCCAAGGTAAAATCCAAATTAATTGTGGTGTTCATTTCTGAATCATTTACATGTGTAAAACAACACTATCATTTTTTAATTTCTATCTCCATGCATATGTGTCTAATCCAGCTTTTAAGTGTGGTACCTTCAATTTAGATTTTTTAATTTCATGACTTTGCACAATGAAATGAATCTTGGAACACATATGCTATGTTATAGCAAAATTAATTGTATAATCATGTTTGCATTTCTGTAATTGTTATGAAGCCTCTACCTATAATTTACAAGTAGCCTGTGATATAGATGCAAAATTAAACTAAAAGATTTTATTTCAATACTTGCCTAAGATTATCTACTTACAGTTTTAATAATAACTGAAGAGATGAGAAATTATAATTTTTCAGATGGAAAAAAAATGTTCAAAGAGAAAAGTCATTGGAGCAACAATTAAGTTGATTAAAAATAACAATCCAGATAGTCCATAATCTCACATATTTCTAGGGAGAAAATGCCTTTCAACTTCATAACAGTATTTTCCATCAATTATTCTCTTGAATGTGGAACCTGACTTCGAAGTTATAAAAGATTTCTCAATATGAGAAATATTGAAAGAAAATCGCAATTATTAAATTAAAGGCAAATTAGAGCCATGGTGATCATCCAAATATGACACTGGGAATAGTGCAAAGATACTGTGTAATGAATGGCAGAAACTTCTATGGATAAATTGTCTAATTTTTGCTTTAGCATTTTTGAAGTAGTCACGTTGCTAAAAATATGAAGACGGGCCACTCATGAAAAAGGTTCAAGGTTGTTTTCACAAAGTAACTCTGGGAATAAGTTAACACTTTCAAGCTACTGTTAGACTATCCTGCTAATATATTGGTAAACTGTACACTAACAGCATGGTGCTAGTTGATCTATAACCAATAGAACTATAGAGTAAGACAAAAGAAGTGGCCCTCTGATGTTATGTTCTGTTTTTCCAGAACACAGGCAGTATTCCTATCTTAGTGAAAATGAACTTTAGTAGAATGTCATGGTTTGGGTATTGTCTTGTGTCTATTTTCTGTGACAGATGTATCATGAGATTTACATAATGCTTTAACGAAGGCAGGAAACAGTTTTTGAAGTGCCTATAAACTCAGAATGAACTGTTTTTCATTGGACTTAGATTTTTGCTTGCCTTTTTCTTTCTTGTAAAAGAAAAGAGAGAATTAATATAGAACAGCAGGTCTGAAACTTTCTCACTAAGGAAATAAAGGGAAAGAAAACCTGACAGGGCAAATCCAAACCAATTAAGCAGAACAGAAGCTGTTTTAAAGTGAGTAAAAGCATAGTTGAACATCAAATACAGGTCTAATATTGATGCAAATAAATTATGCAGCTCTAATTGTGAGATTTCCATAAGTGTATCATGTCAATTCTAATATATTCATTATATTTTATGAAAATATTATCAAAAATTCATAGTTAGATGGCCTTGAATACTTGAATTAGTGTTGTTATACTACCATAGTTCTTTTTATACAATGTAAAATTCACAAAGAATAAAATAATTCAAAAGACTGTAATACCTTCAAATAATACTTTTTAAAGTATTAAAGACTTTCACTGATTAAAGATTCATCTATCATACTATCAAATACATGATGAAATAAAAGCCATTCTTTATTTCAGTGGTATATTGTCTACGAAACCTGGAGCATTGGGGAAAAAGAATTTTATAAGCTGCTAAACATTCTTCAATAAATAAAGGCAATAGCTCTTTGTTCATACATACACATGATGGAAACCAGGGAAAGGACTATCCTATGAAGTGGTTAGGATGGTCCTTCCCTATTTTGCAGGTAAACTAGATGTTAAGGCCAATCCAGTGTGGAGCTATAATTAGCATTTGTTCCACTCTGTGATTTTGCAAAGAGTATATAAGCTGGACTGATCACTGGAATAAAGTTCTAACACATGGTAGTACATCAACCTTATGATTCTGTAACGAAGGCAAACGCTTTACCAAGAACACTTTATTAAACTGTTTTGCAGCATCAAAAGAAATAAAATGGAGTGGCATGATTCTTATCAGAGCCAGGACTTCAGGGTGATTAATTTCACATTAGCTGTAGTTTATTTGGAAGGCAGAGATAAAGACAGAGCTGCAGGTAAACTCTGCAGATTCATGTTTCAAAATTTATTAATGATCAGTATGAATTTTCTTTTCCACCATTATAACAAAATCTGTGGAAAAGAAACTGTCTGACAGGAACTCCATTCACAGATGTTCGTAGCATTCTATTAAATCAGAGTTATGGCAAACTCTATTAATATAACTGCAAAATTTTTCTTTTCTTTTATGGATAACTTTGGTTTTAATAAGACAATTCCCAAAAAGATGATGCGGTCCATGGACCTGAAATCACAGATTCTATGACTACTTCAAATACCAGTGAAAAGTCAAACTGTATTTTTTGGTTAAAGTGAAGCTCCCAAATAACCATATATTAATATTTAGAAGTGCTGATGAGAAGAACGGATTGCAGCGGCTTGGGAGCCAAGCTGACTCTCTGGAAACAGGTATCCTCTTACGTAAAAAGATTAAAAAAAAAAAAGGCTCTCTTTGAAAATATTCTGTAAATGAAGGAGCATAAAAATACATAGGATGAGGCAGAACATATACATTATGCAAAACAGAAAAATATGATTTGTAGAAAATGGTTTTAATGTTTGACAAATGATAGCAACAGTAAGGTTATCCTTCAATCATCCTTAAGAGATATGTTTTTACTGTCTGCATTTTCTACCCGAAGAATCTAAGCACACATTATATGAAATTTACTGTTCTCTTAAAGTGGGTAGTTTGTCTGGAGCTTCCTAAACAGTTGCTCATATTGTTTCTAAAATTTGCAAATAGCACTGATGATTTCTGAAGATATATTTTTAGAGATGTGTCACTAGATACTCCTGGTATCGTAAATGAGGAAAGCCAGCAATAGACTGAGGCCCAGCAGGTAGTACTGGGCCATCCCTACATGCTAAGTGTTTTTATTCTGAAGGAAAGATATACAGGCTTATTCTGTTTTTACTCCCGAATCCCCCGACAACTGGCTCAGTGATATTCTGTCTCTTTCTGCCCAGTCATGTAGCAACATAAATTATATCTCTGGTACATATCCAAGTTCATAGGCCAAGTTCAGCTTACTTTTCTTTTATAGGCCCTTGCAGTAAGCCGTTCATTATAAACAACCCTCTCCATCAAGGCTGGCCTCAACAAACACAGATAAACAATAAAACATCCCAGGCTTCAAGTGTAAAGGACTTAGAAGCAAGGCCAGCATGGACAGACTAAAGAAGAGTCCAGAGGCATTTGAATCACATATTCAGGAGAAAAATTAATTATGACCATTTAGCAAAAAGAAGAATGCTCCATAGTTTATGTTTCCTTTTCTTCTCTCATCTTTTTCTACTGGGCACTGAACCCGTGGCTTTCACACTGAATTACATACTGTTTTGATTTTTTGTTTTGCATGAGGTTCTCAATAAGTAATTAAATTGCCCAGGCTGGGCTCAAATTTTTTTCAAGAAAATTATTGTTTATTAGTACATTTTTCAGTGCACAGTGAATGCATTCACTGTGGGGAGTTGGTACATGTATGCAACATGTCTTGGAACTTGCAGTCCTCCTGCCTCAGCCTCTCACAGTGCTAAGGTTACAGGTACCACCAAGCCTGGCTTCCTTCTGATGTTTTAAGAGGAAGTTTATATAATGTAAGACACAAGCATTCCCTTAGCTATTGAATGTGGTTAGGGTTGTGGAGTTGAGAAGCATATCACATCTTCCTTGTCTGTGTGATATGCTGAATATGCAACTAGAACTTTCTGATCATTTAAAACATCCTTCCCCCAAATGCCATGTAACATAATCTAAAAGCAGGATGTTAATGTTGTTTGGGAAAAAAATGTTCTGAGGTGGAAGACTGAGGAGATGCTGACATCACATGTGTTTTTGAACTTTCACTTAACGTGGCTGACTGGATGGGAAACGCAAACCCTAAGTCAGGGGTACAGGGATCCCACACACACTGGAAAGGAGGGCACAGCTTCCTCCTACATTTCATGCCCGCACCCGTGCGCTAGCAGAGGTCAGAGAGAGATGGGCCAGAAAGGCCAATGGGTACAGAAGACAGACAAGCTCAGAGCTGGCTCACCCCGTAATGCTGTCAGGTTCTTCTCCCTATTTACTGGGAAACATTCCTCTCCTGTATCTTTGTGGCTATAAGTTTTCCCAGTTGTTGCTGTTTCTGCTTTTCCCTGGTGGTTCTGCTACTTCTGTTTGGTAAGGCAGGTACCCTCGGTACCCTGTGTGACCTCTTTGGTTCTTCTGCCCAGATGCGGTGAACTTCAGAAAAGCTCACTGTTCTACCAGAGTACTTTATAAACATTAGATAACTTTTGTAACTGGCTTGAGAATTAACAATGATACTGCTTGATAGACAGCCACTCATTTGAAGACTCTAAAAGAACTTCACAAATATTAAACGTAAGTCATAATTGATTTTAAAAAGGAAAAGAAAGTGAAAAAAAGAAAAACT